AGAATCAAAATTGTCACGTTATCGTTTAATTCGAAGGTTCAGTATCGAATTTTGTCGAATAGGTACGCAAACGATTCGAAGACGATAGTCGTTCATGCTAGAGGTAGACTAATCCAATAATGAAAGACGTAAAGCACTCCCACTGCCAATACTAATGCATAGTATTAGTAACCACTTTATAGCCAATGGGCGTGTCTTGGCACCCAGCGGGCAGTGGCGATGTAAATCAATATTACGCTCATTAAATGCAAGACGGTCACAAAACAAAAAATACCAAAAAAAAATACTGAAAAATATGACAAAGACATTTTTGGTCACTCTTATTATAATTCTTGAATTCCTGAATCATGCACTATTTTTGTCAGTCAATCAGAACGTTTCTTATACTTTATTCTCCTGATGTTATAATGATGGTACCTACTTGGTTATAAAAACATAGAGACTTTACTTTCAAATCATATTTTAAAATTATAATAAATGCTGGTCCGTATTGAAAAAATGAAGCTGTACCGTGTGTAAGTCTCTCTTGAGGCCTTTGGATAACTCCTAATTACAAAAAAAAATATATTAATATGTAGTCTAAACTAGTTCCAAAAAGAGATGAAAAATCTCATTGGACTCGTAACAAAAATAGTATTTTAAATATTCATATACCTTCACTGTAAACACTCATTAATTTCTCTAAAACAAGCATTGTTTCAGTCGCCCGCTACGATCGAAACCATGTCCCCAATTTATTGTCTTAGCACTTTGAAAGCCAATTAAATACTGGAGCGAACGCAAACTAACTTGTAAGTGCTATTTTAGAGGGATATTGGTGTTGAACATTTTAAGTTGATTTCTATTTAAATAGACTTGTTTTGTCAGTAACTTTACGTGAAAGTCATTTAAGTCATACTTTAGGTAGGTAGGTACTTATAGATTAGAATCCTATTGTAAAGAAAGTAAGAAAAACAAGTAGCTTAGAACTACTAAACTCATTTATTTTGCAAAAAGCACTTTTACACGTCCCAGTATTAACCCTACCACTGCTTCGGAACAATAAACGGGCCAGTGCTGAGAAGAACCAGCGCAAGAAACTCACTCACATTTTACGTTTAGCATCGGCAATCGGTGATTTTGCGACTGTATCGATGCAGCATCGCGATTTCACGAATTGATGCGTTCGGACGCGGTATCAGAATCGCGCGTTTTAGTGACCAGTGTCGCTGATTCAAGCTTCCGAAAAGCGACTCAATCGCCATGTTTGGCGTTTCCATAAACCGGCTAAATCGCCCATCGCAATAATTGCTAAAAGTGGCATTACGCACACCTAGATCTAAACTGAGACAGCTGAAAAATTGTAATGTTTGACTTGTGCTTGTATTCAAACGCTCGGTTTTTGCACAAATTTTGTGTTGTGGCTCAAATAAACAGGGAATACCTATCTACTTTTGACGAACGTCAATGATTTCTGCTCTGACGCTAAATTGAAACAAAGCTGCGGCCACAAACGACAATACTGGATCAATTAAAACAACAATGGAGCCCGAGGAACCCACTGGGACTCCTTTGATGGTCGTGGACTGAGTGAAACGGTTCATGGTTTCATTGCTTTGTGCTTGGAAACACAATATTTGTTTCTTTAGTTTCAATAAGTACACGAATGGTTTTTATTATTACAAGCGAATTGTCTCTATTTAGTTTATCTTTGGTTTCTTACCCCTCTCTAATAAAAAAGTTACACGCTTGCTGAACACTGTTTTAAAATGACATTTCCATATTAAACGTCATTTGAAAACATTATCGTGGCATGATTTACCTGTACCTACCAATACCATTATACCATTTTAGTCTGTACTGTATAAGTACGACCTTCTTAAATTTACCACTTTGACAAAGGAAACAATATTCTAATAATATCTCTACAACTTCAACAGTAGTATTCAATTGTAAAGTGAGATTTAATTTCGGTCTCTATTTTAAAGTACCTACCTACATAATAGTCTTTGTCCTAATTTGTGAAAGTCGTCACTAATAGAGAGAGCGTTTCGTCTATTTTTTTTTTATGCTAGACAAAGCAGGTATTTGACCGCAATCGCACCTGAAGTGACATGCAGTCTAGGATGGTACCTACATAATTATCTGCCCTGTAAGTGCCTATTCACTCTCGCCTTGAAAACGCTCGGATTATAGTGTACATTCAGGAAATACAGCAGCAGGCAGCATTTTTGTGGTATATAGCCAATACTTAAATTTGTTACACTACATCTATTAAGAAAACGGTGAAGGCAGCCACCCACTAGGTGGATCGACGATCTGGTAAAGGTCGCGGGAGGTGCATGGATGCCGGCGGCGCAGGACCGGTAGTTGCAGAAATCCTTGGAGGAGGTCTTTGTCCAGCAGTTGACATAATTTGGCTGAAATGGACGAATGTCTTTTAGTATCTTCTAGATTTAAAAAAAAAAACAATTAGCCTTTTCTTCCCAGACTAATCAACTGCAGTGGCGCGTGATCTTCATCAGCATGGCTGGCCTGGTGACGGTCGCCAATATCATCTTCAGCTTGTACATGTCCGTGGAGGTTCAGCCATTCGACAAAGATGACTGTGAACAGACAGGTTGGGGATTTTTAAGAAAATTACATTGTTGAATCTGTTCGTCCAAAATATTATGTAATCCTTATTTAATTTGTGAAATCTAAAGAAATGTTAATTGAGATTAACTATGTAGTAAGTAAATCTCGATATCTATGAGTAATTTGGATAACGAGATTGTTGGCGATNGCGTCGCTAACAGAGATAATTTGAAGGAATGTCAACAATCACCATTGCGTTTAAAACGTATCAAAATTTTTAATTTTACAGGATGCTTTTTTGTCTCTTATAAAAAAATACTTTTTCCATGATTAATGTTTACATTTCAATTTTTCAGAGACTGAAGAACTTCAGGACATGAAAAGTAAATAGTATTCAATAAAATTGTAATAAAATAGGTATTAAATAAAATGAGTTGTAGTATTTTCGTGTTTTATTTTTCAGTATTAAAAATTGTTGTTTCTACCAATTTATTAAGAAAATGGAAGTCGCAAATAGTTATTGAAAGTGAATAGTAAAAAAATATTAGCTACGTTCATTTAATAGTATTAAGCTAATAATATTTTGCACACAAACTCTATACAAATATTATTACATAGTAATATTGGATTGTCACAGCATAGCTGACCACAACCTTGGTATGAGTAATAATTTAATAAGTTATCAGTACGCTTCTAACATGATTTAATTGAAATACTACTATTTTATGTGGCTTCCGAAAACGGAATATTATAACAAACATAGTGCAAGCGCATTTGAAGTTATTATTTTTAATTATTTTATAAATATTTTGGTAGACGACACAGCACTGAAAAGCAACATCTTAACCATAGGTAATGCGAATTTCTGTGTTCCACACCAAGAAATATGGACTTTACTCTTTAATTTTAAAAGGTACTAGGTATGCGGAATATTTCTTATCTCATGTCCAGTGACATCTGTCAGATAGCAGACTTTATCACTTGTCAGATGACGACACGACACGTGGATCGCAAAGAATCGCGATGCGATGGTTTGTAGGAATATACAGGGTGTTTGGACCAAACTATGTTAAAATTTCAAAAACTTGAATGATTTAATTATTTTCCAAATCATGACGTGATAATTATGCAATTGTTTGGTCATGGAGTGCAGTAGAGTAGGTAGCAGAACAACGGGCTCAATTTCTTCGATCACCATCGTCGCTGCAGGAGGCCTGTAGCAGCCTAGATGGGCTGCTCGCCTTCTGGGGGGATCTGGGGTGGTTGGAGTAGGAAGATAAACCACAAATCGCGCACAAATGGCCCAATCATCAGGCTAAGTGCGGTATTCGATTGCCCTGCAGAAGTAACTAACTAACGTAGATAATTGTTTTTGGCATAATGCGCTTTGTCGAAAAATTAAAAGACATGGAACGACATAAAACCCTGAAGATCGTTTCATCCACGAAGAGGCGCCCTACCAATTTTAGGTCGAGGGAAGCGCGGTGTGCGGGGAGTTTAATTTGAGCAATCCAAACGTCATTATTTTAGCGTGCGTGTGCACTCATGGATAATTTAGCGTGTACCGATAACACTCAAACATTAGCGGAAGAAAGTGTGGGACGCGTCTTCGTGGATGAAACGATCTAGAATATAATATTCATTTACCATTTTATTAATATCCAGCTAAAGTTATCTTTTCAAATAATTTCCCACAACCCAACTAGTTCTTTTTCTTAATTTTTTTTTTTTGTAGAAGGAAGGAAGTTTCCATTCCATAAAACCCCAAATAGGTACTTTCATTTTAAAAAGCCGTATGACGCCATGTATTGTAAAAAAATGATAAGGTTTATTTGTTTTGATTAGTTAAGGAAATGAAGGTCATTTTGAGTAGTCAAAGTGTGACGTTTCGTTGTTTTAAGTATTACATTGTTAACTCATACTACGCTTCTTGGTAAAACCTGTCAAGGGCGAGTCAGCCAAATGTAGAGAGGGTTTTGCCTATAATTTAATTTTATGTATTTTTTATGGAAATACACTTAATATAAGGAGCACAGGGCCTATACGGGACAAGCATGTAACAAACTCCCTTAAGCCCTCAAGAAAGCTTAATATTATGAAAATCAGTGTCCTGAGTGAAGGAGCTTTTTGAAGCATTGAAAAACTTTCCTGTGCTTATATTTTCTAAGTCATTTTTGATCACCATTTTTGATTTCCACCCATGAATTTAAAATTGAACCTTGAACTTCAACTGTGTTTGATCCACGTGTGTATTCTTGTACTACGGAACCAAATAATGGGAATCTCGTGTTTCATTGTACTTTACTATACCACGATAAATTCCAGAGTGTATGAAATAACTGTTTATTTAAGGTAGCTGTTTATTTAAGATAATAAGAATTATACAATAAAATTACGCTTCACAGAAATATTAATCATTTTCTATCAAGCAGTGGGTGGGTGAAACCAAATAAAAACATTAGTTTGTGTTTTGGATCGGTATGAAATCAATTATGGCGGAGAAAGTGTACAATAAACACAATTTTGGAGATCATGACAAGGATGATTTTGTCGGTATGTGGTGCATTATTTTGAAAAAAGTGTTATGTAACTTATGAAGGGCCGATTTGAAAATATACAAAGTTTGACACTTTGTATACATTTACGCAAGAGAATACCTAGCAGACTCTATTGTTATTTACGAGGTTTATCTCATAAGATTTGTACGGGCGGGAGGCAGTGGTTGTAAGGCACCGCTCCCGTGCCCGGGATATGCGGTCAGGAAGGGAACTAACTCCCTAGTGAGCCTAGAGTCCCTATTCCCTAAGACACTAAGTCCCTAGAGCCCTAGCCCTGCCTAACAATAAATACTTAGACATAATAAGGTTTGATAGGAAGGAAGCTGTGCCCAGGTCGCCCAGGGCAGCAGCGTTAGGACGGCAGGTAGGCGGCGGGGACCCGCTGCCAGCCCGGCAGACTCACCGGACTGATCATAGCGACGGCTAAGGGTGTCTTGGCCGCAGCGGGGGGAAATGAGACACAACGACGGACGGTTGATATCTGATTTATTGGTATTATGTTATGCTATTTATACATGGTTTATTGTTTGTACACATTCAAAGGTATTTGCTAGTGTGCCGTCGGTGTAGAGTGCCGACGGTGCACGCTGAGGGTTCATGGGTCGCCCGGCGGTCGATGCTGACGGTGCAGCAGGATGTACGATCGTGCTCGTACAAGATTATTACTTTGTTTTTGTTACTTGTATACCTACCTCTATTTTGCAACAACATACAAATTGTAATGTGATATGCAATAAACGTTTTGAATTTGAATTTGTGTCTATTACCTACATTTGATACACAGCAGCATTAAACTTTATTATCAGATTAAGGTTATGCATGAGACGTGCATTGTTATAATGTCTGACATTCATTCCTTTTAGACTCATCTGCATGGTACAAAATGTTATTGTGGATAAAATTTTCAATATTATCGATTATTCTAAACACTTCAATTAAAAAACTTTCAATGCTTTTGCAAATGAAGTTACAGTCGAGCCTTCCTTTATAGATTCTTTAAATTCCTCCATTTAGGATGCTTCTAATGCTGTTCCTTAATCATTTCAGGTTCAAAATGGGGCACAAGACACAATCAGTGCATTCTATTGTTCTTCACCCTCACCATTGCATACAGTATGCGCTCATGTATGGGTGTAGCGCTAGTAGCTATGACCTTGCACGAAGACCACCTTGCCGTGGTCAGTGAGAGCATCGTCAACGTGACTGACAGTAACATAACTGACAGTTACGTAATTGACAGTAACGTAACTGACAGTAACATAATTGGCAGTAACATAACAGATGGAAATGTAATAGACAGCGAGCAGTTTCGTGTCAATGGATTCTTCAATGCGTTGTTACTGTCACCTCCGGTAAGTTACTTAGTGGTATGAATTTTCTTTCATTCCGACATCAGAAAAAAATTTCAGCTTTATTTTTTCTCAACTTTTTAATTTTTATCTGGACTAATAAAATAACAACCCAAGTAACACAAAACACAATTATAAGAAGCGTACAACAGCATGAACCTACGTGCAGAGCAGTATATGAGCAGCATATGTAGCACTATATCAGCCGTTTAAAAGTCTATAAGTGTCTTGTAAGCGCAATTTGGGCCCCAAATAATACGGCTTTGAGCATTATTAAATATTATTAGTGCTGCTAACCAGCGCTTATAATGTTATTGAAGACAGANACTTATGTCTCCAGTTGGAAAAAAATGCCTCATTCAGCGAAAGCAGGAAAGCTTTAGGCTGTACCTAGACACAGTTTTATGTATGCTAAAATGTAATTAGTCAGCCAAATAATTCACTTCGTTATCATTTTCAGTACCCCAGTTTCCGATGGAGCAAGAAGATCCAAGACACGCTAATCTCCGCCTTCGTCTGGGGGTATATGACGCTGCAGGTCCCCGGAGGTCACCTGGCTTACAAGTTCGGAGCACGATACCTGCTATTCGGTGCTCTTCTGATCAACTGTGTTCTGGCCCTACTCTTCCCTATTGCTTGTTACTACGTGAGTATCTACCTTTCCTTAGTTCAATCTTGTTGTTGATAGTTGGCTCATTACAATACTAAAGGGTTACGACTGCGACCTCTCGAATCGGCTCGGTAATCCATAATTGTACAATTGTCACTTCTTTTACCTATACTATAATCTATCGCTTGTCAAATATGTTGTGTCCTTCTATGAAGATTTTAAAAATCATATTATTAGATTTAAATATTGTAAATGCAAAAATTTCCAACATAAATGGACAATGTTTTTCATCCACAGGGAGGTTGGGTATGTGCTCTCATCTGCAGAATGGGACAAGGCCTAAGTCAAGCCTGTATTTTGCCAAGCTTTCACACAATTCTCGGCAAATGGGCTCCCTTAGAAGAAAGAGGACGTTTGAGTGGTATTATTTATGGAGGTTTGTATTTTCATGATTATTTTATCGATTGCTTATAAATTGCTGTTATGTTTGGTAAAACTCGAAGAGGAAAATTTAACATTTACCAATGTTTAAAGTCACGCTGCAAAGTAATAAAATTTACATAAGCTTACCCAAACTGCATCGGCTTTTCATGCTTAGAGGTTCGAAAATTATCTCGGCTACGTAAAATTTCCAATATGAAACGTATGACACTTAGGTTTACGCTGTAACTCTGCTATTATAAGTTAAAGCTACACACAGCGCTTTAACATCTTAATTGATGTTTTCAGGTCAAGCTCTTGGTACAGTCTTGGGTTTACCTTTGACTGGGTTCATAGCCTCTTCTCCATTGGGTTGGCCTGGCACGTTCCGTTTCTACGGCATCCTGAGTGGAATCATCGCGGTTATTCTATGGATCTACCTAGCAGACTCTCCGGACAAACATAAAACCATATCAGCAGCTGAAAGAAGGTATATAGAAGATGCGTTACGACAGAGAACAGATAAGGTATTATTATGTGAATGTTTGAATCGTAATCGCAATCGCATACAATTTATGAATTGGCCATCATGTTATTACTTTTAGAGAATGTTTCATTCTTTGGTTTTTCAAAACCCTTATCAAACACAAAATTAAATAATGAGATCATAAAGGAATCAGTAATCTAAAGTCTCCGGTACATAGTAGTATGAGAGCTGAAAACCTTTTCGCAGAAATTGTCATTGCACACGAGTGTAGCGTTTCCTTACGTGAGACGCCGATATCAGTGAAATTGAATGGAAACGTTACGCTTACGTAGAGCTTGTATCAAACCAGCTGTGTACTTGGGGGCTTTACGATCAAGATAATGTTAGATAAGATTACAACAATGTTTGTAAACTAACACGTAAAAATCACTTATGACTTTATTATTTAACTAGCTGATAAGCATCAGATAGTTAAATAAAACGATGTTTGTTTATAGTTTTATCTTTTTGCTACCTTTATTTGCCATCTGTCTCCCATTTTTTACTCGAGTTAGGAGTTTATCAATTTTCAACTCTTCCTATTTACTCCTAAACAATTTTTGTTTGTATTCTTATGATCTGTCTTGTCCTCTGTACATACTAAGTTGCATTTGCATTGTTTCTGTATCGATATCTTTCAATGTTAGTTCTGTTTTTATTTAATAAATCAAAATACCTGCATGTCTATCTACATCATCAGTCTGCAAGTTCTCTTTTCTGGAAAATAATATTTTGGGCCGACGTTTCCAGAAACTCGCGGTGCCATGGAAGAAAATCCTCACTAGCACTGGCATGTTAGCCATCGTCATAGGACACATCGGCAACAACTGGGGACACCTGATCCTGTACTCAGAAGTTCCAGCGTATATGGACAAGGTCATGGGAGTCAACATCAAAGCTGTAAGTTCAGAATGTCTTACAATATTTCTATAAAAAAAATCTGAATGAGAGTTGAACTAATCACTCAGGCAAATGGGAAACTATTATTTGTTTACCTCGATTAAAAATCAGTACCTGTCTGGACATCAAGATTACCCGGTAGTAAGTTCTGGTCTTTTTCACCTTTTTTTTCTGTGGAAAGATTACTTTGGGTAACGTTCCATTGTGTGTATTTTTTTACAGAATGGTCTTCTGACTGCCCTGCCTTTCGTAATGATGTTCGTATTCAACTTCTTCTTCAGTTGGTTGACAGACATGCTAATCGTGAAGAAGATTCTCAACGTGACGCAAACTAGGAAGATGGCCAACTCTATCGGTATGATTTTGTTTTTATCTATACTAAAGATTTATGTTCAATAGACAAGTCATACTTTATGTACCATTTCAATAGTATTACTTTACCTTGATTAGGTGAATAAGGTTCTTGTAAGATTTGACATCAAATACTACTAATAAATACTACTTTCAGGTTGTGTCCCAGCCGCTATTGGATTCATTATCCTGGCGTATGCGCCGAAGAACATTTACATTGTAGAGAGCATCCTGGTCGCTATCTGCTGTTTCAAGACTGCTACTACCGTCGGCTTTAATGTTAGTATGACAGCACTTTCTATTTATCCTATAAAAGGTAGATTTAGATATTGAATATACATATTATACTCTTGAGCCAGAAGCTTTACCTTTACGACTGCACTGTTTTTTTGATGTTCCAAAACCTAGATCTGGCGTGCTATCTTGAAGATTATTAAGTTTGTGATATGAATAAAGACTTTTTGATTACCAGGTAAATCACATCGACATTTCCCCCAACTTTGCCGGTGTCATGATGAGCATCAGCAACTTCAGCTCCAATGCTGTTGGATCTTTTGCGCCCATCGTTGCTGGTCTTATCCTTACAGATGTGGTAAGTCTGCGTTTCAATATGTTTGTACAGCTTCATCGTTACAAACGCGACTCCTGTTTCCGCTTTTTACAGTCAGAAAAATCCTCAAATAAATTGAGTCACTCGAGAATCAATAATGTGAGAAATGTATTTTTGAGACTTTCACTATCAGATTATAATAAATTCACCTGGTTCATGCTCAGTACTACTTTTTTTTCAGAGTGATGAACGTCTTTGGAGAATAGTTTTCTTCATCGCAGCAGGATTCTACTTTATCTCAAACCTGGTTTATGTGATCCTGGGAACTGGAGAACTGGCTGACTGGAATGATCCTACGCAGTACGAGAGAGTAGCTTTGAGTGACAACATACATCTCAAGGTAGAAAAAGATAATAAAGAGAGCAGTGACGATGTTAATAAAGATGACATGACGATTATAGGAAGTGGGGACAAAACTCCTGAAGTGCAAATAAATGGGAAAGTATAGATAAATTTTAAGATACTTAGTTTTATTGATAGTTGAATTTTATTGTAGGTAAGTATTATCTAGTCGTATTTAGTTGTAGCTTTTAATTAAATAGATAATAATTTATGCATTGGTTTTATTGTTTTAAAGAAAAAGTGTGAAATGATGGAGTTGTAAAACAAAACCTTTATAGTAATTCTAGAAGTAGCTAAATTGAAATCCTTTTTATCCCATAAATCAACCCATAGCAAAATCACCTTTCCCCATAAGTAAAACTGCGTCAAAGATTCGGACCCTACCGTTATCACCGGGCTGTAAAACCAGCGATAGGCTCGATGCTCGCTCATAAGGCCCGGTGTCCACTGTCCACCAAAGCATAGCGGAGCAGAGAAGTGTTTTGAATAAACAATCGCATTTCATTAATCCACATCTCCACTTCGTTCCGCTTCGGTGGTTATGGACCGAACGGAGAAGAGCGGAGAATTATCGGACCAACTTGTGTTTCTACATATTAAATTTCACAGCGGCACGGCGGCGCGGCGCAGCGTGGCGCTGTGCGGAACTGTGCTGTGTGTGTTTCATACGCCCGTTACTATGAGGTCTCACAGTGTACGTGGACGCACAGGGTGACACACGAACTAATCACTCACAGAGCTCTATTCAACGCTGTGCGTTCGATTTGTTCCTTCACTTAAGCAAGCTTCGTTTGTGAATACGAGCGATAGATAGCAATACTGACCATTGACAGCTACATACAGCTCACACATCTCTTGTCTTGTCTCTTCGCCACATATCTCTCGTCTCCGCTCCGCACCGCTTTGGTGGAAACCGGGCTTTAGGCCCTTCCGACCATAAAGGGGAATTTCCATCTTAAAGCAGATTCCTTTATTCATAACTTACGAGGTGCGACGCGGGTTTAGTGCCCGTAAAAGTGCTTTAAACCGGTAACTTTGGCATGAGCCGATTACGTTTGAAAGAATATTCAATTGGAATAGATATGACGTGTCTGTTTGACAATGCTACGGTACGGGTCTTTTTAAATTTTTATTTATTTATAAAATTAATATAATCATACGATTCAAAAGCAACGGTAAAAGTTCTTTAGAACCTATATTGTAGAAGAGGAAGCATTGGTATTCTGTTGAAAAACTCATAAAAAAAAATTGCATAAGGTTGTTGTTTTAATAGAAGTTGCAATGAACATTGAATATAACTTAATTAGAGACACAAGAAGTGCCGCTTCCTGGTAACCGTTTAACAGAACTGGTGAACAGAGTCAATCATAGGATTCAATGAACAGAATGATATAACTTTTATGTAACCAACTGAAAAACGATACCGGAAAAACACGAGTAAACTTCAACCCATTTACAAACTGCTTTAAAACACTAGAACCTTTATCTTCAGCAGTCAAGCAAAAATACTGGCCGGTTTAATCGTAAAGTCGAAAAAAGATGAGCCAAGACTTTCAACTTGCTATCGTAAAGAGTTTTAATCCACTGAAAATCCGCATGACATTTTGAAACTTCACTCGAGTACTATGTCGAGCGGTAAAAAGGAAAAGATGATGGTTTGAAATTACGTTTTTGCTGAGTTTCAGTTTTGTGAGGCAAATTCAAATAGCCCCTTAGACAGAGGGATGGAAATATGGAGGCAAAAATATGCCTTAATAAATTGTCTAAGGAGCTGTGTAAACGTTTTTGGCTGTCTATTTATAGAATTTAGAAGTAATATATCAAAAGGGTAAATATAATTGCCAACAAAAAAGAATCTCTGAAAAATAATTCTGCTCTTCCAAGAAAAACTGGAGACTTAGGGTGAGTTGCACCACCAAACTTTGACCGTAACTATAACGAAACCCGGTGGTTTTTGTATGGAGTTGGACTGATTTTCGACGTTTGTTACAGTCAAAGTAAGATGGTGCAACCCAGCCTTACTGTTAGTAGCTTCCACGTTTTATACCGAAACCTTCTCTTTAACTCGAAGAGAAATCAAACTGCTGTGGGGTATAACAATAGAAAAGCTGGGCAGGACGTTATCAGTGCGGCGGCTGGTGTTATTAATAACAACAATACTTCGTTTTGGCTGCTGCCCAGATGTGCTACCACTTGCTCTCGGCTAGAACTCACGCAGCATCCTTTGGTAAAGATGAAAGGAGTGATTCATCGTAACGTTTCATAATTATAGGATCTGTCGGCCGTTTGGTGTAGTGGTTCAGAACGTACTACTATGCCGAGAGGTCCCGGGTTCGATTCCCGGCCGGGCAGAAATTGAAATGATGAATTTTAATTTCTGTGACGGGTCTGGGTGTGACTATGTATAATATTTATGTANAAAAAAAAGTATACATAAGTAGTATATCCGTTAAGCTAGCACCCATAACACAAGCATTAAGTTGCTTACTTTGGGGCTAGCTGGCGCTGTGTGAAATTGTCCAAAGATTATTTATAGGAAATACTTTTTGTCTAAGCTTAAGTTATACAATCTGGTTAGATCTCAAACAAAAACTACATACAGACACCAAAGGGCAATTTTTTTAACGTAAGATAAAGCAATCGCACCTGGTATTAAGTGAGATGCAGTCTAGGATGGTAGGTACATAATAATATTCACTCTCGCATTCATTTCAGTCTGAAAACTAAGTTAAAATATTTTTAATGACTAAAATGACCCATCGTTTCAGCTGAATGACGTCCACTCCTGGACAAAGGCCTGGAAAATTACCCTTCAGAAAATAATTCTTAACTTGAAGGTCTAACATTTTTCATGAACTCAAAAGAGAAAATCTCATAACTTTTAGACACAATCAAGGGGTTTAGAAATACCGATAGTAAGTAGTAAATAGTAATATTAAGTTAATAAACAAGCCTATTAAGATTAGGATTAAGAGCTTTAAAAAAACTTTTTAAGATTTTAATTTACGAAAAGCGATAAACAAATCACTCTTTTTCATTTTAAAAATTATCACCATTTTATCCCGTAATTCTGCCTCAACTCAATCGAAAATTCACAAGAAGTTTGACCCAAATGTGGCACTTTCGATTACTGGCCTGAGGCCAAAAAAGTTTCTTTCAATCCGCGGAGGAAATAAAGAATGCCTTGTGTGTCCGAAGTTCCAGTGGGCTGAAATAAGCTGAATAGCTTTTAAAGTAGGTACCTATAAGAAAGAAGTTGAAAACGTATAACACATTGGAAAAATATAACCGTAGTCCAAAGTATTGAAGTTTGCAATTAAATAAGTTACATTCATTTTCGAAACTATTGGATTTTAAATATACTTTTCTCAGAATGTAAACATATTATTATGTAGGTGATCATGTTCTTCAGAAGCCGATGCAAATGTATACCAAGAAAATAGTTTTAAGTATGTCCATATGGTCCATTCAAGTTTGCCCGCTTCTGGACTAAGGCAAATAGGAAGAATTTCCAAATAGCTTGGGCGGGAAACGTACGATTCTAGGAATCCTTTGATTTGTGTAAGTAGATGGCATGTCTAAGCATTTCTACTTGGTAGAGCAAGGGATGGCTAGCTTGGTCTGACTACGTATTTAAATATTTTATGTGATAAACTCCGCAATTCAGGCATTTTCGGTGACGTAAAGTAAGTCTTTGAGTGCGCTGCTTTTCAGACATCTGGGGACCAAAATAAGTTAGACGTAGTTTAAGAAGCACTCGTTTCTACTAGGCTTATCTTACATTTTCAAATTCTAAATCTGAGTTTCGATAGTAACTGCACCAAATTCCGCCGAGCGTCGAGTCGGAAATGAACAATAATTGTCATATCGCGCTATTGTCCGCAGCAATTGGGCTTACTCTGCTACGCGACCATGTTAGCATAGAAGCATTTACAGCTTGTGGAAATTTAGAATTCACGCCAAAAGAGAAAATAGGTATAGTAGTTTGTAGTTACTCATCACGTACTTAGTGTTAGCGGGTTAAATCGAATCTACGCATTCCATCACTATTCAATCGATGACTCGTGCACTTCACTACGATCTGACTCTTGACTTTCGGTATTTTCGCGCGTAAATTAATGCTAAATGTTTTAATGTTCAAGTTTGCTAATAAATGTGGTTAATAAGTAAATTCAGTCTTTATATTAGGTAGGTGCAAGCAGTGTAAGTGTGGTTGATATCTTTTCGTCATCTTCTCATACCTTTTTACCTTCCTTCAGGAGTAGTTTTTGAGTACCTAATTCTAAATGTTTTAGATGAAATAAGAAACAGTTAGAACCTCTTCTTTCTCACAGACAATGTAATTTGTAAAGTTTCTTCTCAGTGTTGTTTCTTCCAAGCAGTCCGCTATTTGTCTAGTTTTTGTAATGCTGATTTTAAACTAACTTTTCCTACTGTATACGGTTCTTATTGTGTATTAGACCGTAAGTTGTGTAACGCACAAGCACCACGGTACTATCATATGGTAGTCCAGTTCCTCGTATCTCCGTCAGATGCAACGGGATTTTGGTTTTCTGTTAAAGTTGGTGACGCCAATATAGAGATCTAGGTCACTACAATGTCCAATCGTCCATGTTGATATTGGCAGTCAGAAAAAGTTTCATCACTGAAGGTGAATGTAAACAAGTAGGTAGTTCTGTTTTTTCATTTGAAACCAATTTGCACATACCGTTTTAGGCTTGGTGGTTCACGTTCTAAGACGGTGGGTACCTTGTGGTATCTTATATTCCTTCAAGTACCAATTAATCAAGATACAATAGAGTTCAATTTTTACCACGGTCTCATGCGACCACTTATGATTACCTACACGAGTTTCGAGTGATACAACTTAATTTTAGTAACATTATTTTTAAATTGTTTGTAAACATAATTAGACGTTTTTTAATAAAATAACATAATCTATCTCAACAATAACCATTACTCACCACCCACCATCTTCGGGTACAAATCTACCGTTACAATTGTATCTCAAGGCTATAATTTTAACCCTCGTAATGCACGTTGCTTTGCATTAAACACACGATTAGCCTGGATAACATTTGTTTTGTTAACCCTTCGTGTAACGGCCAATTTGCACGTTAGGGGTCTATTTGAGCTA